TTGATTGGGAATTAAATCTAGAAACAAATCGTTGTGTATTTGAATTTGATCTGGAGTAGTTATTTCGACTATTTGGTCTATTGTAGTGATTTTGTGATGAATTATTCGTGTTTCTTCGTTCTGGTGATCTTCCTCTATAACTTGAGTTATATGGTGATTGATTTCTTGTATAGTTTGTATTGTTCGGGAGTGGTTTTCCTGAACTGTTGTTGCTGTGGACTGTTTTGTTCGGTAGATTTTGATCTTTTTTCATGTATTGATAGAATGATTTATTTGGTTCTTTATATTTTTGAGGTTTATTTTGATTGTCTTGCTGTTTTTGTCTACATTCGGAAATACTATGTCCGTATCGTCGGCAATAATTACACCATTTTTTGAAAGATGGTTTGCCTTTAAAGTTTGGGTTCTTTTCGTAAATATTGAGTATTTCAGTGATTTTTTCAACGAGGTCTGTCTCTGATTCCTGTATATTATTAATATTAGTGGGAGTCGTTTCAATTCTGTTAACGTATTGTAATTTCAGATTTTCCGTTTCTTCTAGTTTCATCGTGATTTCTGCTTGTTCTAATTTGTCTACTAGTTTTCGAAAATCTAAATCGGGTTCTCGAATTGAAGAAGGATGGGATGCTCTCTTTTTTATTGCTATTTTCCTTAATTGTGGTGTTAAGGTCATCATTAAGATTTCTGTCATCTTTGTGTTTTTATAGTCGTGCGTATTTAGTGAATATGCTTTTCGAACTAGTGTTTCGATTCGTACTGCTATTTGCTTGATGGTTTCGTTTGGTAATCTGCGAATTTCATTACATAAAACTCTTTGTTGTTGTTTGTTTCTTTCGGAGTCAAACATTTTTGAAAATTCCTGTGTAAACCTTTTCCAGTTTGATTTTATTTCTAGAGGTAGTACTGAAAACCATTTTTGGGCTGCGCCATCTAAGGTTGTTTGTATTAACGCTGTGCGTCGATGTATCCAATTTTGATGTAGTGGCGTATTAATTGGTTCAGGTCCAATATTTAAAATCAGGTTTGCTGTTACTGCATTTAAATAATCTTCTACAGAGTATTCAGGGTCTGTTCCTGTGAAAACCATTAAAGGTTTGTTTGATGTTATTGATGATCCACCCATAAGGTATGGATTCATTGTCATTTGTAATGATTCTGCTGCATTTGGCATTTGAGAAAAATTTGAAAGTTGGTTTCTTGTTATTTCATGTTGTTGGAGATAATATGGGAGTGGTATTTCATTTTGCATTTGTGATGGTTGATACGAGTGTGCAGTCATTGGATTTTGTTGTTGAATTGGTTGAAAAGATTGTGTATTAATTAGATTTTGTTGTTGAATTGGTTGTTGATGTTGTGCATCTATTGGTTGTGGAGAAAAATTTCTATGATTTGTACGTGTTCTCTGTATTCCTTGTCTACGATATTCTTGAGTATTTGGTGCAAATATATCTGGTTGTAAGAAATCATCATCTGAGGATAAATAATCCATTTGATAAGATGTCTGTTTTTTATTTTTATTTTGTTGAAAAAATGGGTAATTTTCACTGTGATCCTGTGGAGGATTTGTTTGGAAATTTATTGAATTAGGTTGGGTCATTGGGTTATCCCAATTTCGAGATCTTGTATATTGGTTAAAATTTCTTTGTGGTTGGTTATATGTTTTTGATGGATGTGTATAATTGTAATTATGGTCTGCAAAGTTGTTTCTAGTGAATGTTTTGCGTGTTTTTGATGGTATTATCATGGGTCTGTATGTTTGGTAATCCATATGTGAATATTTAGGAGCAACCGAAGGTTTAACGGTTGATTGTAAGGTTACCTGTGTTTGTGAAGGATTTGTATTTCTTGGTGTTGTTAAATTTGGGCGTATTGGTGAAATACTTTGTTGTGTAGTTGTTGTGTGTACAATTTCTTCATTTATGAAGTGTGATGGTGTCTGGATATCTTGTTGAGTAAGATTCCTAGTTCCATTGAGGTTTTCATTGTGTATTACTGTAGAGTTTAAACTATTATTTTGTGTATCGGGCAAAAATGTATTATAGTTTAATGGTGTTGCATCAATGGTTAATGGTATTACTTTTACATAATCTCTTATGTAAGATATCGTACTTATTGCTTGACTTGAGATTGATTGTGGGAAGCTTATAAATGCGGGATGAGACCATTCGGGGTCCCAAACATAATCTGATTGTTCTGTGATAGCGGTATCATCGTTCGAGTTTTGGGGTCTAAAATTTTTTCTTGCTTGTGCAATTAAATCAATATTGTGTGTGAAATAATCTATTATGAACCATGCCAAAATTTTTTGTAGATCGTGTTTTGTATGTTGTGAAACGTCGTCTTTCGTGAAATTTTCTTTAATGATGTTTAAATAACTAGAGAGTAGTGTGATTTCATGTCGTACTTTCAAATGTTTGGATGTTTCTGTTGGTGAGACATTTGTTATTGGGATTTCGTTTTCTAATATCGAAATATAACTATATATTATTGCGAAAACTTCATTGGTGAATATGGAGTTTGCTCTTTGTGAGTTTTGATATTGGATGCCTTTTATATATTCTGAAAAAACTTTTGAAAATTCTAAATCAAGATCGTCTGTTTGAATTGTATATTTTCTATTATTATGGTTTGGTGAGGTGAATTCTATGGAGTAGATTCCATACTGTTGTGTTATGTTGCATATATCTTTTAAGTAGTGATCTATGATTTGTCTTTTGATTTTTACATCTGGGAACTCTGTTTTACATGGACTGATTCCGGGTTCAAATAAATTTAATAGTAAATTTTTGCAAAATATATGCTGTCCTCTATCGGTGGTTGCATCTACTATAAAAGGAAAGATTTCATCATCATCTGGACTTTCTTCACCTGGGGTGTGCGTTGAGCTCATTTTTTCGTTCGATGACTGTTAATATGTAATTATTAATGTGTCGAATTGGTTGATTCCAATTGTATAAATGTACTGGTTTGTGTTTATACTGCTTTTTTGTTCTTCTTTTTCCTCTTTTTGATGAATTTGAAGTTGTTTCTGAGTCAGAAAAATATAATTGATCGTGAAGTGGGCAATTTTTATCTATTGATTCTTTTAGTTTGTAAAGTTCGTCTAAACTGTTGGTTTCTGATTCTGAAAATGCGTTTCGATTTTTTGAAAATCTTTTTCGTGTTATTTGTCTTTGTTTCGTTATTATTTTTCTTTTTAGTGTTTGTCGTTTTGTTCGAATGTATCCAACTGTTTGTGTATGAGGTGTGATTACAAGGTCGTATTTTTTGTTATCTATTTCACAATTGTGTAAAACGATTGTTTGTTTATTTCCTAGGTTTTTAAATGACATAAGGTTTAGGATGACGGATGCAAAAGGTTGTTAAATGGTTTCTATTTTCTTAAACTGTTAGTTCTTACGATTTTTTGGTTAGCTTAACCTGGGTCTATTTGTTCAGGGTTGGAGAGAAAAGTATATCGATTCCGAAGAATGATTTTTTACTTTCTCGTGGCTAGTATAAGTTAAGGTGTTAACTTACTTAATCTTACTTAGGGGTAGTGATTGTGTTCAAGGGTTGGAGAATAGTAAATCGATCCACAAGGTTCAGGTATAATTAGAACGCGAGTAGTTCGTTAGATACTATTTTAAACTTACTAAGTCTAAGATTTATCCTGGGTCTGGTAAGAGGGGGGGTCAAGTGAAGGATGAATAACCGAAGTTCTTCACTGTTTATCCTAATTTGAATGATTAGTTTTGTTTAAAAATTTCTATTAGTCTTAGGTCTTTAGAAAGGGTTGGGTAGTGAATCGACGTTTGAGGTCGTTAGACACTAATTAAGTGGGTGGGGGAGAACAAAGTTGTTCTGTTTGATCCAAGGATAAGTCTTGATGATCAAATTTGAAATTTAATTAAGTAGAAAATGATTTAAGATCCAAGGATAAGCCTTGATGATCTGGTTTTAAAATTAAGTGAATATAAGTTTTAATAAAATTTTAAATGTGTGTAAAGGAAAGATTTAGTGTTTTGATGATATTAGTGGGTTTATGATTGCTGTTATGTTTTAGGTGATGGAGCTGGAACAACAGGATGATTTATGATTACTAACCATTTATTGTCATGCTACTAATTTTTATTTTTTATTTTTCAATAAATATTTTTCAAACATATTTTGTATATTACTGCAGAGTTTTAGGAAAACGATCTTAGATCTTTTTATCAATCGTTATTGTATATTAATAATTTTGTTTAGCGCCTGTAATGATTTTGAGGATTAACTTCAAGGTTTTATGTTTGCAAATGAAAATCTAAATTCATTGCTAGTAGTATTCTAAATACAAAAGTTTGTTCTGGCTTTTGCCGAACTATCATATAACTATATGGCAAGTTTCTACTTTGTCGTATGTCGTCTCTGGTTCGAGGTCTTCTTCCAATTCCGGGTAGTTCTGTTATGGTTCGGAATATTGGCTCTGATCTATTGAGTCGTAGAGACATTTCGATTAAATTATTGTCGTATAACATTTTGTAAATGTTTTTGTCTAATTTCTAATCTATTTTGGTTAATTCTAAGCTATTAAGGTCTTGTTCGAGACTTATGGTCGCACCAGATGAGTTAGGTTCGGGTTGGTTAACTCATAGAGTAATTTCGGATAGGGTACACCGTCTGCTCGTCACGCTATCTTATTTTCGGCCGGATAGATTCGTGCAACTTCTTAGTCTAATACCGATCCTAATCTTACTCTTATACTATCTAGTCTCAGGTTGTTTAACTAGTCTCTGCTAGGCTCAATAGATCTAGGGTATACTGGTTTATTGCGGCTGCTGAAGTGCTCGGGAGAGTCCAACTAATTTCTAAGTTAAATTCAAATCTCTCTGGTGCTGAAATTACAAGTAACTTCAGCACTTACAAATAAGTGGGTTGTTAGTTAGATGGATCATGATTGGTTAATATTAAATACTTTACATTGGTAAAATATCTAATTTATCCAATCATAAAATGTAGTTTAGATCAGGTTCCATTAACAATGCGGGCATATTTGCGATAGGGTTACAGGATTCAACGCCTATAGACCAGTACGATCAAATAATGAATGTCAACGTTCGATCCGTCGTGTTCCTGACAAGGCTATGTATTCCCCACTTGCGGAAAACAAAGGAAAGATTTTCCAAACTTTGAAAATTTCAAATTATCAATTTTTTTTCAAATCTGATAAAACTTTCAAATCTGAAAAAAAAAAACAATTTTGCAGCGTACTTTCAAAACTTTACCGACTTTCAATCATCAAATTTTCATGAATTACATAAATGCCGATAATTTTATAAATAATTTTTCAATTTCATTAATTATTTTGATAGTCATAAAAAATCAGCATCAATTGCAAGTTTTAATGATAATATTTTCTGGTTATTTTGAATATTACAGGGAAGCATCGTTAACAATTCGTCTTTTGCGGGGATACGAGCAAAAGCAGGCGTAGGAGATTACTGCATGTCTAAAGCAGCCCTCGACATGTTCACGAAATGTCTGGCTCTCGAACTGGCCACCTCTGGCGTAAGAGTTAACTCGGTCAACCCCGGAACTATCATCACTGATATTTTTCAAACAGCAGGAGTCATGGGAGAGGATCCGGAAAAGTTTTGGGAAATGAACGCCGCCGTGCATCCTTCGGGACGTTTGGGAACTGTGGAAGAGGTAGCTGAAGTCATTGCATTCTTGGCCAGTTCCAGAGCTAGTTTTATGAGTGGGAATATCACGCCGATCGACTCAGGGCGACACGTGGTTGCTCCGTAGATGTATTTTTTGGTTCCCAAGCTTATCACCCCGTGTTTTGTAACCCCCGTTTTCTTAACCCCCTCTCATATAACCCCGAAATCAGATAACCCCACTACAATTTAACCCCTTTTTAAAACCAATTGTTAGAATCAAAGTGAAAGTTACTTGAAAAGGATTCGGAACCATATCGTCGGTGAACATCAAAGATTTAATTGCGAACAATTTTGCGACCCAAAATGAGTTAACATGCACGCAGCTATCAAAAGAACTTAAAAATTTTCAGAAACTTTTTTTGAGCAGGCTGTGATATCTCCTAAACTTCGATCTGAAAACTGAATTAATGCAAAATTTAAAAAAAAAGTTAAATAAGTAGTAAAAGAAGAATCAATTGATATTAATGAGCAAGTATAACTTTTAATGTGATGTCGCCTAAAATTCTATCTGAAAATTGTAATCATAATTGGAATGATTTAATAATAAAGTTAAATAAGTTGTTAGAAGAATTGATATGATTTGATTGAGCATATGATTTGATTGAGCAATTGATATGAATGAGCAACTATAATTTTTTCGTAGTTAACAAAGAGTGAGCCTTGACACCGCTTAAGCTAATGTTAGAATAGACAGGATTGACAGGTTTCTTTTTCACAGAGAACAAACGATCGCGTTAGTAAGATATAGAGATAGATTCAACCTTATGACCCTAAACACTTGGTGGAATCACTAGCAGCACACCGGCATCTTGATGGAAAAAAAATCAAAAATGATTCTAGTAGGTTTCTCAAAAATTTTATTCCCATATCAAAACAAATTGGTTTCGAATGGTGCAAGGAAAAGTTTTTGTTGCTTGTTCACAGTTGTCATCCTGTGTTTTTATCTTCAAACATCTCATATTTTTCGAAATAATATGCAAATGGTGTCGAAATTCTAATATCATAGGAGTCAGTTATGCGCGATGAAAGCCCCAGTTAACAGCGTGTGAATATTTAGAATGCCATTCCAATTGTGTAACCGTCCTCAACGCCGAGGGATCGCCAATTGAATCTTGTGCCTCGGATGCAAATGTTGGTTGCTCTTAGTATAGCAAATGAAAATCTACATCTCACCTATCACATGACATGACTATATGGGCGGTCCCATTTTGATGCCAGACCATCTGCTAGTCGTTTGAGGAAAAACGTGAACTCCGGTGCCAAAACACCATCTATTGAAGTGACAAGTGGAGTGAAAGACATGTGTTTTTCTTCACAAGCTGGTCCATACTTATTTTTTTTCTCAATCTCTGCAGTTTTCAGTACATTCATCGGATTGCGGTTTTGGTAAGACGGAGCGTCAGTGTCTGTAACAAGGATGTCGAACGACGCAGCCGACTGTCTATCCCAAACCCCACGAGCTGAAAGATCTGCAATTAGTGCCGGGGTTCCATTTTCTACATCTGGTTCTTTTACGACAGGTTCTCTTTTCACATCCTTCCACAAAATTGAAGCAAGATCGCCCACTGCGTCTCTTATTTCGTTGTGTCGTAGTGTTACCAGTCCGCCCTTCTTGCAAGAAAGTGCATGCTGTGAGTCAAAATCTTGTTGACATCCATCGCATCTCGAGAAAGAACGTTTGAGTGGTTTTCTGTAACTGACACTTAGAGCGTCTCTGAACTCTGTGGCTGACAAATCAAAATTATCTTTCAACAAAGGCAGCGAAGTTACCCAAAAGGAACAGTTGTTGTCGATTATTCTCCGGATCGCTCGTTTCTGATCTGCTGGTAAAACTGCAAGCAATTCATCGAGTTTATCTATGTCCACAGCATTTTGTTTCTCCTCCTGGTTTTTTCTTGCTTCTATCATCTTTGTTTTGTGTAGAGTTTGGTCGAAATCATCTTGGAAAAGGATCGAACTCACGAGAAAGTTGGTTGCTTCACGTGAAGTGGAAAATGCTAGTTCCGCACCTTCTATTGGATTTCGCACACCTAGTCCCCCTCTTTTGACAGGAAGTGAATACAAAACACGATCTGAGTATGTGACACGACACTAGAATTCCTATCAAGCTTGGCAAAAAGTTTTCCTCCAACATCTTCTCGAGAGGAGCAAACAACTGCGACGTATCTTTGACTTCTCTCTGGACAAAATTCCATTCGCATTGCAGTGATCTTGTTAATCCAACTAAAGCAGCTTGAGGTTCTTTCTCTGCCACTTTGGACAACTCGCCAAGACAATCCAACCATTCTTGGACCTTTTTTTAAAGTGAAAATAATTTTTCCTTCATCAGAGCCAATAAATCCGCCCAAATATCTTCTACCTTCAACTATTCTAATGCCGAACCTGTCAAACAATTGATGAGCTTTTTTAACAAATTTCGGGTGAACAACCAAGTAACTTTTGCTTGGCTTGGGGCAATAGCCGGATACAATAGCTGGAAGTGACTTGCCAAACAAAAATTCAGCAAGCAATTTAAATTGCGAAAGTTTCAACTCAAAAAAGATTTTTCTAAAGGGCTATGGAAAAAAATTATTTGTTCCTACAAGCTATTATAAGAATGTATGGATGAAATATTTCACTGTAATTTTGTTAGCTTGACCAATTGGGTCTGGGATATCAAAAAGCTACTAAAAACGAACAGCCGTTTCAAATTTATTCAGGCAACCTACTGATTCCATTCTAGACATTAGATACCTTTTCTATTGTTAAAAAAACTTCTCGGGACCATTGGCCTCGAATTACAAAAATTTACCAAAAATTTCTTGAATATCTAATTTTTCTTCTAAACTTTGACACGACAACTTTAGTTACCCATTGTCTTTTATACAAATATTTTCAAACAGTAAATTTATAAACGATTAGGCGTTGCGTTCAAATATTAAGTTTTGAGACAACGAAGTCAGCCAAAATAGCTGAAATTAATTTTAATAATATTTTTTTTTCAGAAACCGAAGTGATAAAAATATGAAAATTTTATTTATAAAAAGAGAAAACAACATATTGTATATTTATTCAGCGCTTCCTTGAAATTTTTTTTGCCTGTAAATTGTGAGAGTTTATAGGCAACTAGTATCCAGCTGAACTGGCTTTGATATACGATCGCACTCTGTCCATTATGAGGCATATTTTGGTGACTAAAATTCTCCTTGGAAAATCGCGTTTGAAATGAAGTATTTCAGGGTAGCCGAAAAAAGGTAGTCAGTAGTCAGTTGCTGCCAAGTAGTTCAATTCGTAACGAGTTTTGGCCTAGAAATGAACGACTAGAGCATTAATAAATCGTAATCTTTTAGAGTTGCTAAAACATATTTCATCTCATTTTAGCAAAAAGTGCCAAAAACGACACAAATTGAGCGACTTGCGAGCAAATTACACATCAACCTGCTACTCTTGTTCCTATCTAAAATTGTCGGATTATCGTCCATAATCGTCGACCTGGATATGAACCAACTAACATTACGATTTCCACACTTGGTTTTTGTCACACGCTCTTTTGATATCGAATAGCAAAACCAAGCAGGGAAAAGATTTTTTAGCAAAATCGTTTTTGCTAGCTTCTTGGTATTTTGCAAATTTGTGTTGTTATTCAAATCTTAATGTTTATGAAACAGTTTGAAATGTTTTTCATAATATACGCTTAGTTAGCACTAACTGATAATATAACTGATAAAGCATGTTATATTAATAGTTGTGGTTTCTGTGATTTGCAGAGGATTCTTCAAAGGCTTTACAGCCTGCCAAAGAATAGTCCGTTTCTACTATTTTCCCACATTCCATACCAAGTTAGTTTATTCTAACTCTCAATTTTTGCAACTCAAGGTTTTTTTTTTTTTGTCTTGAAGTTTCAAGTGGTACCACTATTGCAGCTAAAATAACTCAGGCAGTGGTAGACACATCTAAACACATCTTGATCTACTTTCAAACACAATTTTTAAACACATCTTGATCTACTTTAAAGTTTGTTCTACACAAGACGCAAACACAATCAGCATACTCGATAAAAAAAGTTCTGAAAAAAGAGACGAGAGAAACTCATCATCGAAAAATGAAAAGCCTGGGAAAAAAAAATTGACAAATGGGGAATGAACTCACAAAATTTTGAATTTTTGTTTTAGTTTTTTCCACTTTTTCACAAAATTTTTTTTCACAAAAAGTTCTCCTACACAAAATTTTTTCACAAAAGGTCAAATCTCGGAAAGAGGGGGCGTCCGCCCCCCCCCCCCCCACTAATCCGCTGCTGTTCGTGAATATCAGGCCGCAACCAATAACATTCCATCAGATTGCTTCTGCGCTCATGCAACTTGCCAATGCTTTTTTGAAACTCAACTTTACAAAAAATAAAAAGAAGCCGCCATAAAAACGGGGTAGAGAGCGTCGCCTGTGAACGTGCATGCAAATAAGTTGAAAATGAAAACTTTTTTAAATACAAAATCAAAGCAGTGCCACTATTTTACTTGATTCAACGAATCATTTCAAGTCTAACCACAAATTTTACTTGCTTGCACAAATCATTTCAAGTCTAACCACAAACAATTTACTCCTATTACGCTTTAAAATGAAAAATTGTGGTTTCTGCGATTCGCAGGGGATTTATGAAAGGCCATCCAGCCTGTCTACATATAGTTTGTTTCTCTTAATTCCCCACATTCCAGACAGAGTTATTTTGTTGAGCGAAGCTCTTTTTTGCGAGTTCAGGCCGCTTTTTGAGTCTAGAACTTAAACGTGGTACCACTATTGCAGCCGAAATCATGAAAATTCTTTCGCCCACACTCAAACTGCAGGCGACGGAATGGTTTGAGAAAAAAATATTTATAAAATACAACTTAGTTTAAATGTTCTACTCTGCAGATAAATTTTTGAGACAGCGAGCGTAATTTGTAATTTTGAAAAAGTTTTTAGAACAATGATTGATATCTGAAACTTCTATAAATCCGCCATGTGTATACCTCTGCCAAACTTAGACAGTATGAAAGAAAACAATTTGGAAAGAACGTACTACTGAAAATGTACAGTTCATCAAAAATGTTTTGAAAAATTATCCCAGCTAAG